AGTTTTAAAGCAAACTGTTTGCACAAAAAATAGGCAATAGTTTTATATCGATAGACTTTTTTTGGCAGCACCGCTACGTTCTGTGATTGTACGGCACTGGCACTGGATTCTGGAGAGTTAGTGGCACTGGTAGGTAAAGTGAGTGTAATTTATATAGACCATAAACAGCATACATTCTGTATGGTATACACATGGCTACAGAATAAAATCAATACTAAATTCTCTCTCTCTCTCTCTCTCTCTCTCTTTAATACTAAAGTTTTTGTTACTCTATTACCACGTTGTGTACGTACAATATATAAGAGTTATATTATAGTCTGTGAAGTATATGCATGTGAACTGTGCAATACCTTTACCCTATCCACACGAGTTCACTGGCGTGTGGATAGGGTAAAGGTATTGCACAGTTCACATGCATATACTTCACAGACTATAATATAACTCTTATATATTGTACGTACACAACGTGGTAATAGAGTAACAAAAACTTTAGATAGAATTTATAAATTACGATAATATTTGAATGAAACGGAAAATTTTGAATTGATTTGTAAGACTTCTGCGAAACATTTCAAATACTCAATGCACTGGAAAATACACACAAAATCTAGTTTTAAAGCAAACTGTTTGCACAAAAAATAGGCAATAGTTTTATATCGATAGACTTTTTTTTGGCAGCACCGCTACGTTCTGTGATTGTACGGCACTGGCACTGGATTCTGGAGAGTTAGTGGCACTGGTAGGTAAGGTGAGTGTAATTTATATAAACCATAAACAGCATACATTCTGTATGGTATACACATGGCTACAGAATAAAATCAATACTAAACTCTCTCTCTCTCTCTCTCTCTCTCTCTCTCTCTCTCTCTCTCTATCCATCACTTAAGCTATCACTAGTTATGTCAGACACTCTCGCATAATAATATGCAGAATATTCTGTATATATTGACTATATATACAGTATATACGTATTTGTATCCGTGATATACTGTTTATATTACTATAAGTGAGTGTGAGATAACCGTTAAGAGTGTATTTCATAAATATTTTATTAATGACTTTCACAGAATATGCGGATAAATATTCTGTATATCCATTTATATATAATACATATACAAAGCTTGCATTCAGTTTAATATAATAATAATAAAATTCTTGACATTTACAGTCTTTCAATCTGTCATTTATATTATTTTCTCATATATACAATACTTGTGAGCGTAATATAAACTTGATTATTATCTAGAATATGCCCTGAATACTTTTGCCATGGTAAATATCCTGTTGTTCCGAATTCTTAGTAAACAATATACAATTTATTATCATATTAGTGCAAGTACATTTGAGTGTAAATGATATTAAATTGTTTAAAACATTGTGTTAAGTCGGGTATGAAATAAATATTATGCTATTATAGTTTAGAGATAAACTAAATTCGCATTTGTAAGTTAAATTGCGCAAATTGTCATAAGATTTCGCAACATTTACCATAATTAATGACCATGACAAAAATATTACAGTGCATTATTATAATTATAGTATAATGAATACGTACAGTATAATGCATTAATATAATTTACATATCCAATTATACTGAAATAAATTAGTAATGCAAGGGTATATAAATTTATGTCTTTTTTTATCTATGCACCTGATAATTAATTGTAAGATTATGAATGTCTAAATGTATTTAAATAATTTTTTATTGCCCTATGTAGTTTTGCGTACATGCCGACAAAAGGAAGATGCTACAATCGTTGACCAACATGCTCCAGGACATGCCCCAGAAAGCGTTTGTGCTACATGAATTATCTAGCACAATTGCATCGGCCGTTAATGCCAGCCATTGGAACCTATTTCTTACTGATTGGATGTCGCATAATGGCGAACAGGTCTGTGCAAATTTATCATGCTTATGATTTATACTATTATGCATCTAGAACCTAGATTCTGGATCATAATGTTTAAAATGTTATTATTTTTGTGTACATTAATTTTAAATTATCCTAAATTGATTTTGATTCAATATATTGTCAGTAGTTGGCAATCAATATTGTCAAACGTGCACTGCATTTTATTGCTAAGGCAGTTAGTTTTATTTTTGTATGATTTCTGCTATATTTTTTTTGTTATTTGATTTACGCGTATTATATATGCCGTTATTCACTCAACTGGCTATTTGTCTGAACTTACAGAATATTCTATGAATTGTATTAAAGAGAGAGAGAGAGAGAGAGAGAGAGAGAGAGAGAGAGTTTTAGTCTAGAGGTTTTTATTTTTGCTTTTGTGTACTTTTATTTTTGTTTAGCACTCGATGTACGTCATACTCAATGCATACACTATTCTGTGCTATTATATAATAAAATACACAATTTCTATAACTCAGTATAGTTTTTTTTTAACTATACAGCCCAACCCTTTTTCGCAACCACACTGTTATACTGTAATATTAATATATAGTAAATTATGACACTCTATAAATGGCATTAATCAATACTTTATGTGTGTTTTTGAATTGTATGAAAATTTTATCGCTTTATTATTATTAAAATTTAAGTCAAATATAAATATTTATATTAAGACCTAAATTATTTTTATGCTATATATACTGCATATATAATTAAGATAGGTGTGACATAAATTAGATACAACACGGGTAATTTGAATATTTGAGTTTATTTTATACATATATTATTTAAAATATTCACGAATTGTATAAAATATTTAATTAAAGTGATGATAAATTTTGCACAAAACTTATCATGAATTATTAAAATAGTAATACAGTGTCAATCAATTGGGGAGTTATAAAATAAATTAATATTATTAAATTAGAGCCCAAAATATATATACAATAGATAGAATGTGCAAAATGCCCACGTGCTGTCAATTCATGCATAATGAACTAGATTATTTCCAGTTTGATTTCCAATATAAATCCAATAGCTCATTAACAACAGGGTCAATAATTGATTACAAGTGCCAATGACAGCCAGTGTTAACTATTACTATTATGCACAGTGTTTGTATAATACGCGTACAATATAATTGTTACATAACTTTCTATAGTGATTTTGGCTTTACATACATAAATAAATATACATCATAAGCCTACACACTGTTTGAGTTAATATAGCTTAGGGCAGTGGCAGCAGCACCTAGTAATTTTTTATATTCTTAATACTAAACATGCTTGGCTAATAAAAATCAATCATAGTTTGCCACACGCCATATTAAATGTTAGCTTCGTAAATGCACCAATATATAACAGACTAATCAATAATCAACAAACTAATCAATATAAATCAACTGTTTCAATTATATACATTGTAGTTGTATGTGTGCTGTATATAATGTATATTGTATGTGTGCTTGGTTTATTATTAATGTTAGTTTAATGGCTTATATAGTGTACAACGGGGTTGATTAACCGTGATTTTGCAGATAATGTACCGAAAAAAACTCACAAAATATCCATTAAATTACTGGCAAAGGCTTATCTATAAATCCCACGTATGCTGTTTATAAAACTTATATATAAAATAAGCTCTTGGTTCAATAAAGTACAGTGTACGCTTGCTATAGTGAACCCAGCTTATAGTTTATAATGGCAATTTATGAATGGTTGTAATTACGTAATAATAGTAAAAATATTTATATTATATATTGAAATTATTAATGACTTATTATCAGAATATTCTGTATAATTATTTTGTATAAAATTCTATACGTTTTGTAGTAATCAGTCAATGATATGGCTATTTATAACCGCATTATTGTTATATAATAGTATTGGGCGTTAGATATTGGGTTCAATACATTGTAGTAATGATGGATAATAATATTATTAGTATTACTATGATAGTTTCTTTTTTATTTTTTATATAATAGATATTTCTTATAATACACGTAAAATACCGTCTACTTATCTGTACTCTTATACGTGTTACTCTCCGTAACTTCCGCGTTATTCTGACATTATTATATAAATAAAATAAGTTTTTGTCATATTTAGTGAATAGATAGTATATTAATTAATATTTATATGAAACCTTAATGAAATTTACAATAAATTATGATTTTATATTTGTGGTTTTGATCTAAATGATAGATTATGGTAAAGCACAGGAATTGATGCTTTTGAATACTGACTCATGAAAGAGAGAGAGAGAGAGAGAGAGAGAGAGAGAAATGAATTTATTACCTTTTTGTTTAATTAATTTTTATTTACTCACTAGGCTTTAATAGAGTAATACAATAAATAGTGTAGTGATATATTGTAAAGTATATAACCCAATATATCTCATATAATACCAATTATTTACTCTTAACACAATATGTTTTAATACTAATTGTAACAAATGTGATAAAATCAATATATTTTATAATGCATTTTATTTAATGGTAAAATAGTCAAATACAATTCCACTGTGTAAACATTACCGGAATTATATACCTTGGTTTTATTTAGATTTTGCTTAATCATATAGAATTTCATTTTATATAACAATGTTAGTTGCAATATTGTTAATGGCCTACAAAAATAATGCAAATGAAACTTTCAAGGGCAACTATAAATTTGACCAATTAGTATATCTTTAGCTTAACAAATTAGTTAGATGATCTAGCTTAAATATGGTAAATGTGTTTATTATTTATAATAGGCACGTGTCTTTAATAATTAATTAATTGAAATTAAATATATTTACAAATGTTATATTATAATATAATAAATTGTTAATAATACAATACCATTACACAAAAGCAATAACAAGGTTAAACAGGTAATAAACAAAAGCCATTAATTTAGTTAAACTATATATTATAAATAAACGGAACCAAAACAACAATATATACTTGTAATAAAAAATGTTACGAAAAAAATCAATTATGGTATGAAATGTGTATAAAATATAAATGTGATTTTAATTGAACAAAACAATACACAATACCAATGAACACACAAAATGTAATTAACATTTGATGTTATATAAGGTATATATAACAGAATATTCTGTAGTATATTGTGCTGAGCATTAGTAATGTCGATAAAAATTATATTTTATTTCATACAAATGTTAAATAATATATTAACTCAACATTTGATGTGCACGAAAATGCTCTAGAGTAATTTGATTAGACCTTGACATTCGTACTGTAATTTGAATCTAACATAATCAATTTCATTTACAAAACACACACATAATTTATTTTATATGCTAATTAAATGTGGTAATTTACAGCTATACAAATGTTTATATTGTTTTACAACAGTAACTGTTAAATTTATTTAAACTAATTAAATTAATTTTACCATTATTGTATAGGAATTGAACCAGTTTGAAAACATCAGCCGACTCGCCAACCACAATAACGTAAACAACATGGACTTTACATTAGCCCTCTATGCGTCCAAAGCCAAAAAGACTATTGCCTGTTGTGTTGATGAATATGTATGTTCATGATCAATTTTACTTACACTTACAGATAACCATTGTTTTAATTTTACTAACATCAATTATTTGATAACTTATTATTTTATTTGCTTAACACAAACAGGATAGTAGATTTCCCAACGGCGTGCCCAAGGCGCCACAAAGTACCTCGTTCGCTTTGGCCTTACCAATCGTACAGTCGGACAATACCTTAATAGGTTTGTATGACATTATTATTTAGTTTATTACCAAGATTTAATGAAATTACCATTATTTTAAAGGTGTACTCGAGCTCTACCGGAAGAAAGGATCGCCATATTTCTTTGAGGAGGACGAGGAGGTTTGTTTTGAATAGATCATGGTTAATTGATAATTTGATTTTAATCTCGTTATATTATTAAATTGCATCTAGATTGCCAACAGTTATCTAGTGTGGGGTGGAGTGGCCCTCCACTACGCTGAAGTATGTATTTATTTTTTCTACAAAAATAATTCACATAAATTACCATATTTTAGTTTTATTGTGTTATAATTACTTTGTGATTGCATTTACGTCATAGATATGTTTTAATTACATTATATACATTAGGCTATAATTGTAAATTTAGATTTGGGTTATTTTTAGCCTTTGGTCAGTGGGCACTCAAAAGGGCATGCCCCACCCTATTGGATTAGATCTAGTGGGCTTTTATATCTATTTACAATGTGTCCCAATGATTTGGTACTATTGTGTATTTACATAGGAAAGCATTGAGTTAGTACTTTATTATAAACAAGTGTAGATTAGGCATCTATAATCCAATTTTAATAAACTCGGTCATTTTCAAACATTTATAAATTACACTTTATCTCCAGAAACTAATAATACAATTTCACTAATGTTCTTGCCCATTTCTATGACAATATTTAAACTACATGTATTATTTAAGAAATGACGATTAAGAAAACGGATTTCTTCATTCAAAAATTTAAATAAATATCAGAATTTTAAAAATATTCTTAATTTATATTAAAAACATATTAATTAACATAATAAATTCAATGGTTGTTAGATGCTAGCTATTTTATTGTGAAATAACGCTTAAATAAATAATTCGAGAATAAAATTACTGTGAAGAGTACAGTTGCGTAAAATTAATAATAATTTTAAATTAACTTAGTACGTATGACATTCAATCTTTTAGATTATTATTATCCATCTAAGACAACAATTTCCAGAATTAAGCTAGGTCATCAAAATCTATAACAATATAAATGTAGAAATTTTTAATAAAAGTCCTCCTTATTAAGCAAACGCCAGTTTAATAAAATTTAAATTATACCAAATTATTATTTAGTTAATTCTATTAGATTTCCATTATTAATCGAAAAGGAAAATAGTTATAATCAGGGATAATTTGTTTAAAGAATATAAGCTATGAAATAGTCCCAATTCATTGGGACACCCTTTATATCTTTATAATTATGCGCATAATTTTGACCATGATCTATTCTGGTGCGATTATTAAATTATAAAGGTAATTTAATTAGGATTAAAATAAATTTTAGAAAATCATACAAGTTATTTATATAGCACATTAGGTTTATTGAATATATTTAAAAACAGATATTTTCTAACTTGATTAAATAAAAAAATTATTTTGCAAGATAAGTAAAAATTTTTACTATAAATACTATAATAAAGAGTTTACCAACTATGATAATATATTTAAATAAGCTAGACGGCAATTAATAGTTATGAATTGTTCTATGATAAAAATATTTTACTTTTGTATTGTTTTTACAAATAAATTGTACAATCATAAATTTATTTTTATTTTCATTAATGTTTTATAATGGCAATATTTATTATTATATTTTTTATGCATACATTATATTGTTACGTTAATAAATATATTATTGATAAATAAATTGATCATAATATTATTATTTAATTTATTTTATTTGTTAGCTTTACTACAATCTATCGCAACAAAGAAAGCTGAATACATTTCTACTATCAGTAGTCAGGTATGAATAACTCGCATCAAAAATGAAAATATTTTACATTCATTAAATAGTTTTCATATTAAATTTTTATCATTATTACCATAATTTTACTATAATATGTGCCTTACGACGGTATACAATGCATACCATTGCCCCCATTATAATGTTTTTTAAATTGAGTTAGTGCATTATTTGTGCAAAATTTAATGATTATACTAAAATTTTAAAGTAAATGTTGACAATAATGAGAATTGATTTTTAAAAAATAATCATGACAAATAACAAATTAACAATATACAACAAATTAACCGTTTATTTTTAACAATTTATATAATATTTTGTTAAATTTAGATTTTAATTTACCATTATATAAAAATAACTATTGTAAAATTATTTTTATATAAAATTACTTTATAGTAAAAACATATTGTAAATCCAGCTCATTAATTAATCAACGTATGATGTATATACAAATTATATTAATTAAACTAATTATCAAACTATTAGTTTCTATGGTTAGGGTGAATAAAATATGTAAATTTAGGTAAAAATACAAATTATTTTATTTGAAACCAAAAAACACTTTTAGTATAATTAGATAATTTTTTTACCCCTTTTTGCGCATAAATAACACAATTATTATATGCATTGCAATGAGTTATGCATTCAGAACTTATATACAGGTATAGAAAGTATGGTTCAAAATAAATGGCACTTTTTCTTGTCGGGCAATTAGTTTAATATATTTTTTGTGTGAATATAATTATACGATTAAATCGTATGCATATTCTGTATATGATATATAATTTACTGTTAAATAAATGCATAAAATATTAATGATGTGTAATTTATATTATGCTCACACAATATATAACAAATGATTGTGTTTATGATTTTTGCATAAAATTTTTGAAAAACATCATTAATTTATGCATATTACTTGTGCTTTTGTAATATGTATTTTTAAATGATTAATCTATATAATGATATTTTCTTGTTTGTTAGATCTGTATTCCAAGATATGGTTAATATGGACGTGGTGGTGTCCAAAATATTGGTTAGTAAAATAGTTTATAATTATTTATACTAGCAACATAATAAAATTTTTATTAAAATGTCTAATATAACAATTAAACACACAAACAATTTAATTAAATATATAACTGTACTAAAAACATAAAATATCCATGTTGAATATAAAAATAAGCAAATGCTACAAATATATGGATTGGTTTACGCAATTACAATTTTCATGTATAATTTTTAAAATTAAAATTAATTTTAATTTATATTAATTTATCACACATTAGGAATATGCTCGTAATCTAGTGAATGCGGATAGGACCTCGCTGTTTTTGGTGGACTATGCTAAAAATCAATTATACGCCCATATATTTGACGCCAACGATAACAAAGAGGCCGATGCGCTCAAAAACGAGATCCGATTCCCTATTGGGGCGGGTATTGCCGGATATGTGGCCAAAACCGGCGAACCCTTAAACATACCCAACGCTTACGCCGATGAGAGGTTTAACCGTAGTATTGACCAGAAAACTGGTTACACAACAAAGAGCCTGCTCTGTATGCCCATTTTCATCGAGGACAAGTAAATATTTTTTAGTAGTAAATACAGTATAAATCATTAGGGAATGTGTTTTATTTTTACAGTCTAAAGCTTATTTTTAATTGCAAGATATAGCTAATTAATAAAATAATAATTATGAGTTTGAAAATATATAAATATTTGTTTAATTATAAATGACACAATATTTATAATTATTTATTAATTTAATTTACTGGTATATTAGCCAATTATCTTAAGTTTCCGTGCATTTGTATCATTTATATTACCAAGAACTAAGTTATTATGTTTACAAAAAAAAGTATTTAATTTAATGCAGTATAGTTTAGTATTAGAGATTTAAAAATAAGTTTTCATTTTATTTTGAACATATCTAACCCGCATTAATAAATGTAAATAGGATGTTATAAAATCAATAAAACTATAGTTTGTTCATTATGCATTTTTTCGTATAAAAATAACTAGGGTGATTGGTGTATTGCAAATGGTAAATAAAATAAACGATGTATTTACCAAAGAAGACGAGGATAGTTTTGCCGTGTTTGCCACTTACTGCGGGTTAGCTCTAGATCACGCCAGGGTGAGTTTAAAAAACAATAATTTAATATTATATAATATTTAAAGTTTCCGTTTAAATGAGCTTGATAAATAATCAATTTATAATTAAATTTGTTATTAGTTGTACGAAAAAATACATAAATCAGAGGAGAAATATAAGGTCGCGCTGGAAGTGCTGTCATATCACAACACGTGTACCAATGATGAGCTCAACACAATTAAATCGCGGCCATTAGACTCACTGCCCAATGAGACAGAGTATGTATTTATTTGTAATATAATTGAATTGTTAATTACAATATAACTTACTAATTTTTAATGTTGATTTTACTTATTTTTAATTATAAACTGTATTTGATTATTTTTAAATATTACATTAATGTTTAATAGCATAATGATAGATATTACTGGGGTTTCAATCGATGGCCATTTTTATAATACAATAATTATTCGTGTGGTGAAAATATAAATTATATTATTTTTAATTTTTTAAAATGTCAAAACTGTAGAATTAAATGTAAGGTAATTATTAATATATTTAGAGAGCTGATTTAATATATTATTTGGGTACACAAACGTAAACAAGATCATATTGTTTATTGAAATTACTACAGTAAAAATAATTTTTTTAATAAACCTAGTTTATAAAATGGATTTAAAGTTAAAGCGATAGGTTATTAGTACAAATGTAATGCAAATAATTTTATTAAATTTAAAATATTTAATTTAAAAATACACAAACATAACAGTATCCATAAACAAATACACGACCATATACAGTGAACATTCCATATAGTAAAGCTCTATACAGTGTATTTTCCATATAGTGTACAAAATATTTT